GAATTTCCTTTTTCCATTGCCGTGTTTTGCCGTGCTTTCAACTTTGACGTTTGCCACTGTTCGACGCAGTGGTTTAAACCACCCACACCCACTCCCACACGCCAGCTTACAACAAGTACGCACTCTACTAAAAGCGCCTACACATGCATACATACACACGCACGCACACGCACATACTTGTGTTTTTCCGCGCACTTTGTTTGCTTTACTCAGCTTTTCCTTTGCCATCACTGTTCGCTAGCTATCCCACTTTTTTGTCTCCGCGCTTGTTTGCCGCGTTTATTTGGTTTTGTATTTGTTTGGTTTTTTCTTCGTTTTCTTTATTTTTTTTTTTTTTTGTGAAAAGCACATTCTTGCGCTTTCCGTCGCTTTTATTTTCGTTTGCACCTTCGCGCTTATTCAGACATTTCGCTTTCGTTTGAATCTCCCACAGCTGTCTGCCCAACAGGCAGAGCGCGCGGCGCGCAAACGCTCGCCACCCATCTTCGGCCGCATGTCCCCACGCGTTTTTCCACCCGCTCGGCATATGCACGCTCGTATTTACCATTGCTTGTTGTCGCCTGTTGCGTTGTTAGCTTTATTTTTGACGTCGTTATTGTTGCTGCTGCCAGCAATTGCCGCGGCTGACGCCACACAAACAACAACAACTGGCGCTGCTGCTGCTCACTTTAGTATCAGCGTTGATTTTCCAAATTCACTTTTACCGGCTAGCCGATAGTAGCGACTCGGTGGCTCGACAGCTCGACAGCGCGTCTCTCCCGGTAGTTTGTCTAGTGTGTTAAGAACTTTACGACATTTGTTTCGTTTCGTAGCGCGTCAGCGAAAGTCGTTGCGCTCGAGCATCATTATCGTGCAAAATATTAGACAACATACACATACACTTGCGTCGAAATGTGGCAATTTCGCTATAAACGTTTATTTGCGCGGCCGTGTAGCAGTTAGGAAAAATCCCTAAAATAACAGTTTTTTTTTTTTGTTTTGTTTTACGTGAAATAAATAACGGAACTAATTTGTCAAAATACACAAGTAACCGATGCTGAAATTCCGTCGCGCGAATGCTACGAAAACGTAAAAAAGTGCTCAATTGACCGTCGGTGGTAAAGTGTGGGTTGTGGTGTTTCATTTGCCGCCGGTACGCGTGAATCGAAGTACAAAAATTAAATCGTGTTAAAACAGCAAATTTTTTTACAAAATATAATAAATTTTTAAAAGTAAAAGTAAAACAGTTTTGGTTTTCAGAAAATAAAATGCGGAAATTCAATTTTTTTGCGAAATACAACAGCGCATAATGTTGCGTCGAAGTGTCTTTATCGTAAATTTTTGAAAACATTTTAGGCAAAAACATGGAAACATAACTTTATACTTAGTTTTCCTTTATTAAAAATACACAATACATAGTGAAGAAATTCGTAAAGCAGTGCAAATAACCAAAGTGTATAACATAAACATTCAAAATGGCTGTTCTATATGCTGCAATGATTTTATAAACCAAAAAAAAATGTGAGTATATATTTATGTATATCTGTATGTAATAAGTATGTGCGAACACACAAGGCTTAACTGCTTGCCCAAGTTGCCATTAGCAGCATGGACAAAATTATAAAGAATTTGAAGAACATTAAACAGTGAACTTCAACAGCTTGCTGATGAATAATTTTTCTTTTAAACTAATAAACCTAAAGTTGTGTCGCAAAGAATCAAATTTAGCTTATCGTTTTCGAGCTGGATTATATGAGTATGACCGCTTTTCTAATTACTAAAAATTAACTACTGGTCTCAGTACGTGCCATACGAAATTCTTTAAACTTTAAATTCTTTAAACTCTTAGAACTAAGAATTATATGCTGTATAAAAACATGCTGCTGACTTTAACTTCGGTCAGGATTTAATAATTTTGTAAACCAAGTACGCAGCCAAGCCATCTCAACGCACTGGTGTCACTTCATTGGCTTTCATCCTCAAATTTGTATATTATTAAATAATATCACATAATAAAAGCAATACTAGAATTAACAGAGAAATCTTTGTAAAATAGGAAAAACGCAGCTATAATACCCTTTACAGGTCCGTTCTTTAATGCATAAAGGGTTACAAAAGATCATTATCTTGATTTGGGTAGGTCAGTTTGTATGTTGTCTGATTTGAATAATTTCAATGTAGCTGGTAGCGATATCTTCGATAGCGATCTGTGTCAAACTTTGTGAAAAAGCCTTATCAATTTTTCATACAAGCACTTTAATACGATCGCTTTGTTGTTATTACAACTATACATATGATATAGCATTTCGATATCGACCGGCCCATGAGTATTTGCTTCTTACTGGGTATTTCAAATAGTGAGAAACTCACAATTTTATAGTTGGAAGGTACTGTGAGCAATTATTTCGCAACTATTTTGATTCGCTTTTAAGGGGTTACATGAGTTTCCTGGCATAAAATAGAGCGTTTTCAACAATCTTTCCTAAAATAAAAAATTAAACATTTTATTAGAATTTTTTATTGTTGCAAATATACAAAAATAAATTTATAAAATTTTTGTAAAACAAATAGTTTAAACTCGGTCATTGCAACAACATTACCAATGGCCCCTCAGAAAAAAGGTGCGCCTGCGTTGGCAGCATAACTCTATACAGGATCGTCTAAAGTGAAGAAATACGTGTTTTAGTTAAAACCCTAATTTAGAACTTGGACGCAGATAAAAAACGGAAAATTGGATTTTTGCCAGACATTTCGAAAAAAAACAGGCATTTGTCCAAGTCTTTAAATTGTATTTCAAAAACTTGTGTGAAATTTCATGAAGATCGGTTGAGTAGTTCTCGAGAAATCTTGCCAACCGACTTCAAAAACACAGTTTCACGAAAAATGCGTTTGAAGACAGCTAGACAAGTTCTCAAGGCTGTATCTCCGAAACTATTACTCGGATCAACTTGAAAAAATAAGACAATATTCTAGAGATCTTGTAGAATTGAATAAGAAATTACAAAAAGTCGATTTTTTAAACCCATAAACCCCTTAATATTTGCTGCTAGCTTTTTTAATGACTCAATTACGAAGCGTAGATAAAAATCATTAAACAAACAAAAATCCGAAAACTTGTACATGGTTTAAGGGGTCTCTAGGGTAATATTTTTTAATTTTTTTTTTTTTGTATGCATTTTCTGTTCCCTATACCCTTAGAATTAATGTAGAAACCCATATTACCATTTGAAGGTTTCGAAAAAGGTCCAAAAATAATAATAATACCGCGCGACGTTCGGAGCGCTCGGAGTGAATACCCCAAACTTTAAACGCTTTTTCTCAAAACACACTTGTTTAAACTGGCGGACATGATTCCGGTCGAACTCATCAACCGATTTGCTAAAAAAAATTTTTTTAATGTTCAGAAAGCGCCTGTCTATCGTCCCTACTAGATTCATAATTTTTTATAGTTTATTGATAATGTTATGACAAATTTTATGTAAAAAAGCATATGGAAAATTAAAAAAAAAACAACGTTAAATACATTTTTTATATCAAAATTTTTTCATGATTCTAGTAGGGACGATATCTATTCACGTACTTTTTAATAATAAATTGGGTTTTTGTCTTTCCGGTGATACAAATGATCAAAAAATTCGAAAAAAAACGTGTTTTTACACTCCACGATATGTCTGATAATATGTGAAAAAATTTCTATTGTAGAATAAAAATGTCTATGAAAAAAAAGTGTCAAAAAACAGGCCAGATTACCCCACTGACCACTTAAGAGAACCGCTTGAAAAGCTGTACTGTTTTGTCAGTTCGAATGCTCCGCCTATGTACTGGATACAGCTTTTCTGAGATTAGGAGTGCTAATTTTGGAGATGTATTATGTATTTATAATGGCTGTTACACGACTAACTACCATACCAAAGTAAACTGCAATACTTCATGTTCCATACTCTATGTCATGCACAACTCTTCATGGCACCATATAATTTAACAAAAAACTCGAGAAAGCACAAAAATGCAGGAGATTTTGAATATTTTACTGATACTGGCGGGTTTTGAAGTAACATTCAAAGAAATTATTTGAAATTTGTTTTCCAGATTCAGTGACAAAGAAAAAATTTGATAAACAGTTTGATTAAATTTAACCTCTAACAACACTCTTCTTTCTTCATTTGCCATTTACATCATCCAATTTTAAATTGTTACAACAATTTAGTGAATGGATATTCTTGCATTTTTATAAAACCGAATAGCTTAAAGCTCATATGGATTTAAAAAATCTTAAAAGAGTTTAAAGTTTGTATAAAAATACTTTCTTATTGTTTAAATGAGTTAAGCATCCACCCCCTCTATCCGCTAAAACTGGCGCATCCTAATAAGAGAGCGCAATTCACCACAGGATGCTACTGCAACACAATACCAATATAGCTCACCACACCTATACACCAACCCAACCAACAAAAGGAATGGACAACGTTGAGGCTGGCTCATTTTCCTCTATTTTCCTATATATGTATATATTTACAGAGATAAGATGAATTTTCCCAAAGCATTATATATTACCATGAATTGTGGTTATTTATAGACATGTTTATTAGCTTTACTTTATAAGTGACAACGCACACGAAATTCCAGAAATAACCATTCCCGCTTCTCTCTTTCTCTCTTTCCAGCAAACGAAATCTAATGTGAATCAATACTGTAACGATACGTCCTTTTAAAGACTGATTTTATACGAGTCTGAAAGCAAAGTGATGCTAAAACTTAAAACAAAAAAAGAATCACAATAACAAAAAAAAATTGAAAGTGTGCGAAAGCCAATCAGTTAAATAAAGTAACCAACATCAATCATAATTCAATCATGAGATTCGTATGTGCTTTGTGTCAGTGAAACCACCAAATGGAGTGCAAACCAGCGGTCGATTTAATCGTTTTATTTTCAGTTCTATTTCCGTTTCATTTGTGTTCGCCTTCTCATTGTGTTTTCGTTTTCTTTTCGTGTGCATTTTTGTTTGATTTTACGCGTGAAAATGTTGTTAGCAATGCGTCGCGAGAGTGAACACCATCACGCCGCAGTCACAGCCACAGTACCGCCAACCGTCCCAGCAGCCAACGCCACCGTCGTCAACGTCGCCACTACAGAGTCAGCACCGGTTAGTGTGTCGGCCATCACGAATGGTCTTGTAGTGCCCTGTGTTAGTACAGCACTTCAGCTGTCACCCAACTTAAGTGTCGCCGCAAACGCAACGTCTTGTACCATACAACACCATCATCTGTTGCAGCAACAGCAACTGCAACTGCAACAGCAACAGCAAGAACTACAACAACAACACGCACAACATTTGCAGCAACAACAAGCGGACTCATTAAATACACCCACAACACCGTTACTGAACTTGGGTCGTAGTCCCTTGCAATTTCCGCCGCCACCACCACCACCTGTACCCGTACAAGCCGGGCCACAGTTCGGCTTCTATACACCTAGCACGGGTGCAGCCACTTACCTGCATCCGCATTATCCATTGCCCTCGGCTGTACCAACGTCTGTTGGCACTTCACTGCTGCCAGTCAACACCGGAAGCGCCTCTTTGGCGAATGGCGCACAGCGCTCCAGCTCAGCCCAGTCTACGGAATTAGACGAATACGTTGACATCTTACAAGTACAGCAACTATTGTTGGACTCATCAGCGTCTGCCAGTCAGCAGCAAGCTTTGGCCGCAGCTAATGGCGCTAATGCGAGCACGAGTGGCACAACTGCGACGACGAGCTCACAACAGAGTTTACCCAAACCACGACCGCGTTTGAATCTGCAAAAGGCTTCGGAATACGCTGCTCAAGTGCAAGGTGCGTACACAACTTTTAATTTCCCTTATTGTTTTTTTAAGGGGCAGTGGCAACCTGGTTGTTCTACAATCAAGCAAGGCATATTTTCGCAAAAAGCTCAGAAAGGTATTTTTCGATTCATTCCAAAAAGTTTACTATATGTTGATATATTCTTATGACGTATCCTAGCGCTAAGTTGTTGTTGTAACGGTTATCTAATCTCCGTTAGTACGGTAAGATTCGGATAAGTTGGCATCGAGATCATCCAACGATAGGCCCAGGAAACTTGCTGTTTCGGCGTAGTCGGACTATAGGAAGTAGGATATCAGGCTGTCGTTGTATGCTGGCCGCTAAGTTGTCCTAATATACCGTTTAGTTCAGTTCTTTCCATCCAATTCCATCACAAAACAATACATAAAACTACCTAAAAGGGTTCTTTGTGATCATGCCTCTCACTCAGACAGTTCCTACAAATAAGGAACCCATAATACGTTAGTGACATATAACTGTTTGACTTTAAGTAAATGCTAGAAATTATCGTTTGTCTGAGGAACATTGTAGAATATATACATACTTACCTACTGACTGGTGACATTGGCCGGAATATAAAGAAAGCACACTTTACATACTTTTTGTTTGTTTGTTGTTTTCTGTTAGCTAGAAATTTCTTTTTACTTTTTTTGATTTTCAAATCTTTCTCTAACCTCATTTAAAGTGTTCAGTAATTCATCGGTTGGATTTTTATTTTAGCGGAGTCTCCATCTTCTCGTCGCATGCTGCTCGACTATCCAAGTCCATATTTGTACGGCAATCATTATCACTCGTCGCCCAGTGAGGACCTTGTTGCCCTCTGGTTCGGCAGCAATGGCTCAGGTGAGTTCAGAAATCAATATAATCATTAATTTCGATTAGGAAAATAATATTTGGAAATCTACAATTTTTCTACAAAGTTTGATATTGGCAAAACCATGAATTCTAAATGTGTTTGATCACAAATGCCAATTTAGAAGCTTAAATCAAAAATTATGGTATAATACTTTAATTCGATCGAATGGTTATAGCCAACGAGCGATCATTTGAGAGTATACCCCGGGTTCTTATACAGACCTTTCCAGGCCCTTTTGCTACTTTATTCTATTTTATTAAGAAATAATTTCCTTTCTATAAAACCCGAGTGTATGACGATGATGAAATCAGCTAGTTAAAAGGTTTAAAGCGCTCAAAGCAAATTTTTTTTAAAAGTCTTATATAGCATGGCAACTTTGTTTCTTCGAGTTTACTCTTTCGCCATGTTAATTTATGGAACTTTCTGTTACTGTTTGTGTAAGTGCTTCCATAAAAATATGTTTGCCGAATTTGTGTTTGACCTTCCTTGAGTAATGGAGGATTTCTAGTTCACGATAATAAGCTGAATAATTCACGGCAAGCTGAATAAAACGCTGACTGCTAACTCTCAAAACTACTACGAATGTAATTTCTGCTATTTAACCAAAATCTGTGGTTATTCCTGGGGTATTCGCAACAGTTACAAGAAAAAAGCCATAAATAGAAAATACATTTTTTGCAAAACAGCTGTTTTAACAGCGCTTTACAGTTATTCGTAGTAGAAAGAGACACGAGCCGGCCAATTCCAGCACCGATTAAAATTACAAACTGATAGTTGGAAATGGAAATGCAAGTCTGCGACACGAGCACTGTCTAGACGCCACTCAAGTGAGCGTTCTTATACCCAAATGCAGTCGGTGTGTGGGCACCTGCACGGAGACTCAATGAATGTGTGGACTAATAAATAAGTGAATTAAATTTTCCGTTACTGAGTGGGGAAGTCATGATAAAAATGTCTCCAAATATGAAATGAATTTCATAAGCTGGTTCCTACAAGCAATACGTGTGCGGTAATATGTATGCGTGTCTGTGTGAGTGTCTACAATCGAGGGCCTGCAAAGCGCGAGCATTTACTTAGCGCTAATATAGATTCATATTGCCTGAGATTGTGTAAATTTTATGGCGAGCGACAAAGATTGCACTGCTAGCGACTTTGTTAGTCCGGCGCTGGTCACAGCGCGCTGTCCGCTGCTAAGACTGTATACGGCGTCAACTACAGCCAGATTAAATGCATAAAATGCGACGATTAATTAATAATTGCAACAACTCAAGTGTGAACATTTATCATGGCAAGCGCCAAAAACTGAAAGGTAAATTAATAATTGTATCGCGTCAGCCGGCCGCCAATGCGCAGCGTTGCGTCCGAGTTTTGGCACGTTTGCGCATTTTTGTCACCCAAAAATAAGGCGTCAGCGTATTAAGATTTCATAATGTCATTCTCTGCTAGCCGTTCTTATACCACACCATGCCATGCCACGCGTCCATACCACCACCCAATGTTGCACGGTACCGCATAAATTTCTGCAGTCATGGCGTGTGGCAACCTCTGCCACATGCCCCACTTCCAACATATCGCTGCTAATAAATCGTTCAAAAAGCATTTCAATCCTATCAAATGTACAAGCGGCGGACAGCTCGCGCAAATGTCAAACGAGCAGTCACTTTACGCCTTTTAAGTGCGTTTTCCAATTCATGAAACTGGCAACAAAATAGTGTTCGCTGCTGATGGGCCATAAGTCAGTAGCGACCAAATGGAGCATAAGTGCCAAAAATGCATAATAAGTTAATGAAATATGTAAGTAGTGCCATTCGGTCATCATAAATTATGAAAAAGAAACTTAGAAGGAAATCGAAGTATTATAATATCAGTAAGAATTTGTCTATAACACTTAGTAACTAAACAGGGTAGATAAAGTATTTGAGAACAAAACGAAATCGTAAAACGATGAAGCCTATCGGAAGCAAAAGAAAACATTACATATATGAAGGGAAGAATAATTTGCGGACGTGCTGAGGTTGAGAAAGTCACACATGTCACATCGACAAAATGGGAATTCAGTCAAAGAAAAATTACGACTTTGTCCAACTAAGGCCTTGGGCTTTCTTAATATGCTGTGGTTGTCTTCATAGTGTGACTAAAGGGAATGCACATTATATACTATACTATTCTACTAAAAGAACCCATTTCAAAGAACATAATTAGTCAAAGATTGAGTAACAGTAGACAGAAGTTTAGGAGATGATCACTTTCGATTGTGTGTCGAGCATTGTACTTTTAGCAAACAGTTGCTATGATCTAAACAGCAAGCACAAACATAGAAATTAAAATGGGTACCATAAGACTCGCCATTAACGTATAGAAGTCAATTTTGTACTGACAACTCAGTCTTAACTCCCGTTTCATACTTCACATACGCTTATTTATGCAACTAACTTATCAAATAATAATGCAAACATGGCGGGCTGAGATATGTAATTAAGCTACTTCACAATGAACTTCACCTCATTGATGCCAAATGCGCAATTGGTGTTGCAACTTGGGTGTTCTGCGCCACTTTTGAGCCGCACAGAGCGGCATCAATAACAATTTAATGTTGTTGTTGCTGTTGTAGCCGCTTCACACTTGACACTGCTGTTACAGAATTTGCCACGGCGATTGCCAACGCTGGTGAAATGCAGCGAGCCAATAGTTCTGGACGTCAAAGCGTGAGGCAAAAAAGAAAATCGCCAAGATTCCAGTGAATGCCACAGCAACCTTTTTGCACCTCAAAGAGCGGAAATTGTTGACATGTAGACCACCGCGCTGAAATTTCATTGCTGTTATTTCTCGCTTTTTTTCCTGTTCCTCAGAAGTTCAGTTGCTTGCAACTACGGTTGGCGAGCCATCAACACTAATGCTAAGGTTGGTAGTGTTTAATTAAGGTGATTGGTAGTTATGCCAAGTCTGTCCGGCTGCTGGGCCTGGTAGCTGGATCGCCAATTGATCAGCTTTACGCTTGGATGCGATAGCACTGGTGGCCTCAGTTGGGTTGGAAAATTGTCGCTTTGCTTGATTGGTGGTTCGCCGGTGTAGTTTAATGTTTCACTCGTATACATTTTTTTTTTTTTCTTTTTTTCTTGCAAACGCTTTTCGCAAATTTATTAGTGTATTGCTTGTTGCTTTTGTTGTAATGCTATTATTTGTTCTTCGGCATTGATTTTATTGTTAAGCAATTGAGTGACACTGGCAAGAAATATGTAGTTGTAGTAGAGCTCAGTATAGTTGTTAAAATACTCAAGGACAAAAAATACAACTTTTTTGTGAGTGATCTTCGGCGAAAAATAATGACAAATAATGAAAACATTAAAATCCAATACGCTATAACTGTTTTCTTACTCTGTCCTTTTCAGCGTTTTTGATGTAATATACTTAAATTCTCACTGAAGGTCGTAGGATTGATGCCCACAGGTAAGGAGAGTTATCATGTTTATTCCTTCTTCGACCAAGGAACGGAGGTCCGAAGTCTTTTTTCTGCGTCTGAGAGGCTCAGATGAAATTAGCCAACCCATTTCAAATAAATACAGCACGCAGCAATAAATACATTATCATTTAATGTAGTTCCTTTTTCTAACAGAAGAAGTCAAAAGTTCTCCAACACTTTGCTAACTGTTACCAAATTCTCCACTCTTTTTGGTAAAAATAGTTATTTTGGAGTTAACTATTAAGTCCTATTAAGTCTTCGGACTATTATTTGACTCTTAAAAAGCAACATAAAACAATTAGAAAAAAAAAACAAAAATACTAATACTAATAAATTTTGTATAAAACTGTTTCGAAATAACTTTTTCTAATGTACATACAGCCTTGTGCCAATTTTCAGCTCTTATATCGTGTTTACATCAATTGAAACTCACCAATTAATCTCCCTTCAATTTGATTGTATTGTTTGCCACATTTGTCTTCAAAATAGTTGTTGCCATTGTTGCTGTAACATTGGCCATTTGCTCCCGAAAGCTTACCATCGCGGCCACTTAAGACGACCGCCATGAAGCACAATCGGCTTTCGAATACACAACACGGCCGCAATACTGAATTCATTAAGTTGGCATAACGACTGACAACAACATGATTGCTTGTGATTGTGATTGTTATCTAGCTGTGTTGTTGTATATTGTGTATTTCCAGTTACCATCGGTGTTGATTAAGTGCTAGACTTACATACCGTTTTACAAACACAAAAGCTCTTAAGCGATCAATCATACAGCAATTTGTTGTTGTTTAACAATTTTGTGAAAGTTGCGAACTTATAAACAAATGTACAGTAGCTCTAATTGCTTACAACAGTTGCCCGCATTTGTCGAAGATTTGTGTTTTTGTTTAAAAGGAAGTCAAACAAAGCTTTAACTGCTGCAGTTGGTGGAACTATGCTTCCACTTTTGAGATACAACATTTGTATTGTCTGGCTCAGGAGAGGTTAGGTTAGATGGCTAATCGTACAACACTAAATAACACTTATAAAGTTTTGCATAGCCTTTTGTGAAACTAGATAATTGATTTTTACACGGGGAAGAATGCACCGCGACCTTAAGTCTATTGTGTCCAGCCAGAGAAAAAGACTACTGTAATTGGATATTAGCTATCGGCAAAGCGTTATGAACCTATCACAAATCTGCTTAGGTGCTTTATTTATATTTCATATGCCTAAAAGTATGACATTTTGTGTTTTTGCTTTGAATTGGTGAGGTTACGACATTCGAAGAGGATGTGTTTAATTGTTTATATATCTTCTTCTTCTGAACAGCTTATGCAACAGGCATCCTGGAATATGATCAATTTTATCGCCTGATTACCGACTCCACAATGTTCAGTTAAAACCTCCCGAAGTTTGTTGAATATCAATATCCAAAGTGTACACTAAAAACATATGTATTTATCCTTAAAACGAAACGAAAATTTAATATTGCCTGCTTCAAAGACATTTTAGTTAAATTATACAATGCAGAACCTT